TCGGTCAACACCATTACCGCCTGCAGCAGGATTGGAATCGCATTAAGGTTAGTAAGCAGCAACACGAAGGTAGTGGCGCGTCACCCAGTCAACCGTTAGGGCAACGAACCAGTGAAATCAAGACGCCGGCGACGGAGGGTCACGGCTGGTTGGCCAGCGCCCGTCGGTTCACAAGCGCCCTCTCCGAGTCTCTCAGTCGTCGAGCTCTCCCTTCGCCTATCAGCGGGAGCGGAGTCAGCTCAGTTAGTCGTCATGGCAACACAAACAAATTGGTTCCTCTCTCCTCTACGCCCCAGGTAATCCATGGCTTTTTCCAGTCGCTGGTTTTATCTTTGTTTCGACACTCTTTAATAGGCTTGCACTATGTTTACTCGCGGCAGGCGTCTTTAATCCTCAAGTATTGCCAGAAATTCTTACACGCTTTCAAATGAAAAGATGGCTTCGTTGTATTCGCAACATTTATGAATGTGTCGTGTAATTTTAACCCACTTCACACACCGTTGCCTGGTACCCTGTCATTGAGAAACTTTGCAGCCTCTAGTAAGAAGCCCAGCAACCTAAAAACGCCACTTAAGTCACATGAGGTATGCGCTGTCGAAGAGCATTTAAGTTGAAATCCTTAGCTCTTAACGGTCAACCCGAACTCCCCGCACCCTATCTAATGGATAACTGCGATGGCTACTCCCTTAATTTCAGTAGATCGTTTTGTTTATACTAACTTGAATTCGGATGAAAATGCGAATGCGCCACTGCATTATGCGTACGAAACGACCTCCAAACAATTTTGCAAATCAACTACTTTTCATGCACACATGTACCGTTTAAATGGAGTCTTTAAGGGCTTCTGTCATTTACTCCAATTATACTGATACTGACTAATACATTGAGTGGTGGCTCAATAAATATGTGAGAGTTAACATACTGAATGCGTGCATCAAGTAGAAGAGTAGTCGAGGATTATTATCAAGTGGGATCTGAAAAGCAAGAGTCCAGGGGCTCAGCAGCTTTAATTTAAATTCATGTGTTCAGTCCTTCCTATTCTTTATCGTTTCTTTCCATGTAGTGAAAAAATGCATCAGGCTCTTTAAACTTCTCGACTCTCAAGATAACGCTCGTGTACATCCAAATTTCTGAGCCCCTTCGGCAGATTTCAGATCTCTATTTGCCATTCACTTGCGGTATGGAAAGCAAACTTCTGCTGATTTTTGTTAGCCACTCAATATTTGTTCTGTCAACGAGCTTCTTTCTGCGACACAAATCAGCACCTAAAAGTAATGGGTTAAAAAGGAAGATACATTAACTTGGCTCACGGCTATTGCCAAATTCAGTATGTTTCGCTTCTTTTCACCTCATAGGTGTCTGTTCTTCCTATTTACAATTAATGTTTGGGAGCCGTGATACCGCTTCAGCAGTAATTCGAACAAAGGAGGTTGAACTGACTATTTCTGAATAATTTAACCTTGTGAACCAGCCGTAACCTAATTCTAGGCCGGGGATATCCGGGATTTGAGGCCGTGTTCATTGCATCATTTCAACTGCGATGTAGGCCTTTCTCATCTCTAAGGAAAATGTCGCCTGGCACATATAGTGGAATACGTCCATTCCTTTTTGCCCCTGGTTAAAGCCTCACAGGGGTCTCTTCATAAAGCTCAATCGATAACTCGGGGTCTGCTAAAATATATAGTGGATTTCTGCAACTATTCAAATTTTTAACTTGAAAAGTCTATTTGGCAAACATGTCTTCGGCAAATCGTCATCGGGCCGGCACAATTGCAGGGCTTAGGGAAATCGTGCAGTTGAACAGAGTTAATAAGTGTCTTGTGATTATCACTTCCCGTTTTCAAGCCGTCCGCGTTGCGAGATTGGCCCGTAGAGATCATTCCGTTGGGGAGAAGGGAGAGGATAGGTTGTAAGTATTGGTCATGGGTCG